CATTAACCAATCAGTAGAAGCTAAGCCCATTATCATTAATAATATTACTATTATTCCACATATAAATGCTATCACCTATAGGATAAGAATGAAATTTTATTTTCATATCAAACTTTTGTAAATTTTTATAATATTCTATATTTCTAAAAAATTTATGAACTATAATGAATATTAAATTAATTCTTAAATTAATCAAATACATGACAATAAATTATCACAAAAATTATTAATTATAAACGATGATTTATAAAAACGCCAAAAATTTCTTCAAAATAAAATGCCTAACAGATCAATTATGTAGACAAATATAATCGCCGATTAGATTCATATTAAAATATAGCCCACATATACCTGTGCGATTTCAGTATCGCCCATATGATCTTCTGCAACTGTATACATGATCATCGTAAATATCCAGTATATTTTTTAAAATTAATTCTAGTGGTTAAAACCGAGAAGCCTAGTATATAATTAAAAATGGTTTTGAAATGTTCACAGTTTCTTTGGTCTTTTCAACGAATACCATTTACGGGACATCGTACACTCTTCCACGCATTACTCTCAATAGAAGATGAGGAAACATTTAGAAATAATTGGAAGATATTAAATTTGCAAATGATTAACAATTACAAAGTAAACACAATTCGCGTTCTTTTTACTTTTGTTCTCGCAATACACAAAATAATTTTTTAATTTTGTTTCCGCTTTAAAAGTTATGCACACTACATTGTTGCTAAAGCTTTAGTTTTTTCCTATATTGGTTCGTTTATCAAAAAAATCTTACAACAACGAGGTCAAATAGAGACAATCTCCATTGGAAGTTGAGGGAGTAATTGAGTTCTAGGGAAGCTGCGCCCATTAAAGGTCTTGGCGCAATGCGCGTACATGATAGAGGGTGCTTTTTAGTATGGATGAAATTTGAGACAAATACTTCTTATAGACATTTCCTTACGTGATCGTAAAAATAATATAAATATCTAATTAAATTTTAAAGTTCTATTTTAATTTTTTTGCTTTATAATATCGAAATATTTTGTCATAATCATCTAATTGAAATTCGAGTTTTATCTATATTGATTTTATTTTTAATAAAATTTAATTTAAAATTTAATAATTAAATTATTTTAATAATTGCAATAAATATACAGCAATAATTATTATTTTATATATTAATATATTATATTATATATTATATATTATATATATATATTATATTATATTATATTATATTATATATAATTATAAATGATTTATAAATTTATAATTTGAAAATTTAGTAACAAATAAATGTAAGTAAATAAAATTAAGCATAATACAAAAATAAGTTAAAAATAAATAAGAAAAAGATATTTAAATATTACCTTCAAGGGCCTAGTAATAGTGATTGTTTCAATAGTAGTTGTTTGTGCCATTTTTGTATGTTAATATCTGAAAATAAAATAAATTCACCATAACAAAACAAAATAAAAACAATAAAATAAGATCAATGAAATAAATAAATTATTATGAATATAATTTAATAAAAATAAGAACTGTTAAAAAGAAAAAAATAATTATAAAATTTATGTGTTAATAGTGATTAAGTTAGATAATGGAATAAAAGTCATTAGTAAACTTTATTAATTTAGAGTTAATATTTATTTTATATTATATTTTTTTTTTATTATATATATTTTACATAAATAGAAATTGATATATATTACGATATATTTATTGATATATATATTTAATAGTATATTTTATTTGTCTTACAAAAAGTAGTAATTTCGACTCTCCAAGAAAAAAGATTCATTTCATTTTTTATTATAAATAATAGGTTATTTCACTATTATGATCAAATTAAAACCAAATTCTGAATCTATAATGATTGCTATCTAATAATAATAATTTTTTTCGTTTTCGAACCATATTATTACCATATCTATTACATATGATAGATAATTTAAATATATACATTTTAAAACAATCAAAATATACCTTTTATTTAGATAACCTTTTAAAACTATTTTTTTTATAAACATGTTATTTTTCATTGAAAATAATTATAACTATATTATATTATAATTAGTTTTTATGATAAAAAATATGTGTCATTTCGTATCAAATCGTAAAAAACATACTTTTCTTCGAGGAAATCGAAAAATAATTTTTGGATTATATTGAAAATACATAATAAATGTTCTTCTAAATGAAATAAATTGAATCATAATTGAACTATAAATTGAATTAATTATTTTTTGTAATGCATATCGAAATTCATTATGTTCATTCTACATTTATGTTTATTTAACATTTTATTAAGCATTTTAACATTATTATGTATTTTTTTAAATGTATATTTTAATCATTTTAAACGTTTTAATATTTAATAATATAACATTAAATAACTTAAAAAATTTATTATATAATAAAATATATTTCAGTAAAAAATATACGATATAACCAACTTGATTATGTGTGGTAAATAGTAATAATTGTTCGTTATATCTTACATAACTGATATTTCGAATAATAAGAATATATTTTTATTTTTTTTAATTATTTGATTAAATATCAAATAAAAAAATATTTTTTATCTTAACATAATCACTTACAATAGTTGATATGTTCACTCTACAAACTTATCAATCTCTGCATATATATCAAATATTAAATGAATAAATATGATTTTAGAGTTTAATAACTTGTAAAAAATTTACGTAAAAAACAATATCAGGAAAATTAATAATATGATTTGATTCTGAGGGTTATGTCACTATAAATGTCAACAAAGATTTCAATAATACGTTCATTATACACTCGCGTACTACTGATATATATATATAATATATATATATATATATATATATATATATGTATATAGAAAAGAACATACATTCAATGAATAATACTTTAGAAAGCAAATAAGGATCGAATATTCCTATTGGTTCTCTTTGCATCGAGATTTCTAACCTCAATACTGATTGGTATTTTTCCTATTTCGTTATTCAATACGCTTCTATAATTTACTATACTTTCATATTGCGTCCAATAGAAAAAGTGATCTTAAAGTAATTATCTTGAAATATCCAATAAAAATATAATATAAGTTTACAATAATGTTAAATCTGTTTTTCAATTATTGTTAAGGGAATGTTATAAAACGACAAATAATTTTTTAGAATTTACTTATGAAAATTTGAATAAAATGTTATATATATTAAAATAAATGCAAGGAAATTTAAATTTCAAAGTTAAAATGTAATATTATTAAAATATTATAATCTAATATGGAACTGTAATATTTAATAATTTTATTTTTATTTATATGTTATGTTAACAAATTAATAGATAAATATATAATTTTATAATAATATTTTATAATATTGTTATATTATATTATATATTTATTAAAAATTTTCACATTTCAATACTTAGTTTTTTGTAATAATAATAAATAATCTTTTGATATTTATTCATCGTATTGAATTGAAAATTGCATTAGAAAGTATTAATTTATTAATAATTTAATACAAGATATTTTAAAAATATTGATATAAATCTAATTGAAACAGATGTATACGTTTCTAAATATAATGATGACGTCACAAAATGACGTCAGTATTACACATATTTCTTCACTAACTATGCATGCGCGCGCACCATATACATATATTTTTATACGTACATTTAAATTTCATATAATTTTTTTTACATTTATAATGTATTCATATTAATTTCAAAATAATTAAAAATTATATAGAAAATATAATTGGAAAACTTAATAATTCATTTCTTTTTCAAATTTTCAATGTCAATCATAACGAAATTTATTATTAACAGTTAACGTAATTTTTATTAATGTTAAACATTATAAACTATATATAATTAGATTATTTTTTATCTTCTCAATTTATAAATAAAGAATAAATTTAATACTTAAATGAAATAAATAATTATATAAATTATTATTAATATTCATTATTGTTTAATGATAAAAAATTAAAATATGCAAATTCATTTATAAAATCACATATATTTGAAATATAATATTTTTTTTCAATATTTGAGTAATTTCAACATTCTGTATTTTATATTCTAAATTTTTTTTTATATTATATTGAAGTATCGATTAAAAAATTTAATGCTTGAATAAAATGTATATTTATATTATGTATATTTATATATCAAAAAAGAATTACTAACTAATTAAATAAATTAAACATTTTAATCGATTATTTTATTTATAAATTTTTTATAACTAATTAATTATTTTATTATAAATTGTATATGTATATTATATATGTATGTACGTGTAGTATATTGTATAATATTGTATAATATTGTATAAAAGAAATATACAGGAAATAATTAATATATAAAAAAATAACTATAATCAGTTATTTATTTGTTTTATTAATAATTATTAACTTATAATTAAATAAAAATAATATTTATTTATTTTAATTTATAGATTTTAATAATTTTTACATATAGTTAAAATTAAAATATCGTCATTAATTATTTTTAGAATAAATAATAATTAAAATTATATTATTTTTATTCTTATTAATCAATTAATGAAATAAATAATACATTTGATATTTCATTATAAATATTAATATTTAATTAATTTTATAAAGCTAATTGTTTACGATATATTAATATTTAATCATTAACACAGAATATATTTAACATGATAAATCAATTAATTGTAAATATAGCAATCATTAATATATTAATTGTAGTTTATTAAAAGTAAATTTATGGAATATTTTAAAAAACACGATTAATATTACACATGTGGAGAGCATCAATTCCATTACTATCCGATGCACGATCAGTTTTTGAGGGGGTGGAGGGAAAACGTCGGCCATTTTGATCGTGACGCGCAGCGCGGAGGTCGTGGGCTCCACCAGTGACGAAGCCACTGGAGTTTTGACGTGGCTGCTACGTACCTGCCTGTTTGCCCACTCCGATTGCAGCAAAGTTGGTGACGAGAAATACGTAACTGGTAAGTACCCAGCTGGAGAATAATAACAACCGGACATGGACCACTGCGCTTATGGTACATAGAAAATGTTACCGAAACTACTAGCATTTGATTTCATGATCCCAGTACAATCAATTTTACGTCTGCTATGGAATATGCCGTAAAATATGGCGCCTTAAGGAAGATGTACGAATTTCTCGAAAAGGGCAATGGGGGTTACGTGACAATTCTGACATCTCTTTTCATCGCTAACCAACACATCGTAATATTAATCGGTACAATCCTAGTCACATTTCATCATGTTTTTTTTATGACTTCTGGCCCTTCGCTCATATACGAAAACATCTTAAGTGTTTATTGTTCTCGTATTATTTTTAGATCTGCTTATGTAAATGACGCAGTAACACCGCCGATCGCTGACTGGCGGGAAATTTAAAACTTTTGCACTTTAATGGATAACTCCAATTTTGAGTTGAATATGTTTTCAAATCCTCGATACCACTTGTTCTGATGATGTTTATCTTTAGTCTGGAAGTCAATTCGTGATATTTCAAGTATGCATATATTTAATTTTTTAAATAAAAAATTGTATGCATTTTTTTGTATAGTTTTCTTTTCTTGAAATGTTTTAAGAAATCATCAAAAAATTAAACTTAAACTAAAAAAAATATAGGTAATAATTGTATGAAAGGACAATTTAAATCTTAGATTTTTTGTCATATAACAATTTCTTCATGCAAAATCACAAATATCTAATTATAAGCAATATGCATTCAAATCAAAATAAAAAAAAATTATTTATAGACATATAATATATTATATATTATATATTATATATTATATGTATTATATATTATATATATTATATATTATAATTTATACTATATTAATATAATATTATATATATATAATATATATTATATATATATGAATATAAATATAAATATAAATATAATTTTGTAAAAATATATTCAATTATGAAAATACTTTTTTGTTTTGTAGGGTTTGATATTCCCAGGCTATGGAAAGTATGGTTGAGGAAAATGGATCAGCTGTTGACCCATTGTCTGCAGGTTCTCAAAGCGGCGATGCAGCACCAGCAATAGCAACATCGGTACAATCTCTCAATAGAACACAGCAGCAAACTCATCATCTGGTAGCTTCTACCAGCATTGTGCAACTGACACTACCTACGTCAGGAACAACACAGGTATACAGGAGAATCTCCTGTGTATCTATGTCTGATAATTTATTTACCTGTTTAGTTGAAAGCATGCATATATAATTTATTTATGTTTTTAATCATAATTATCAGTTAATCAAATAATTATTGTGTAAATATTCAATCTTGCATAATGCTGGTTCAGAATTAAAATTAAAGAAATTAAAATTTGAATTCATTTTCTTAATTATTTTATTTTTAACATAATTAATATAATATTATAATATATATTTATTTATAGTAAATATATTTATGATAAATATTTATATTCATTTTATTTGCATATGCATGATGATACTAGTTAATATCAAAATTTGTTATTTTTGTTTTATATTAAATACATTTTATAAATATTCATGTTCATTTTAGTAATATATATTCTTTAATATTCATAATAGTTTATATGAAATGCTCTTGCTTTATATAGGTACAATCTGTTATACAGCCTAATCAACAATCAGTAATTCAGACTGCAACAAATATTCAACCTGTTGCTATTTCAAAAGGAAATGTCATTCTTGTCAGTAAACCCAACTCCGTTATACAAACAGCTCAAGCAAGTTTACAAACACTTCAGGTAAGTTTTTTTTTAATTTTGATTAATAATTTTTATTTATATTTAAAGATTAAATACTGTTATTAATAATTTTTCTTAATTTTAATTTTTTTTATTAAATAAATTTATAAATTTAAAATATTTATAATATTTATGAAATATTATATTTTATATGATATTATATAATTTTTTATATAATTATATAATTATGATATATATATATTTTTTTTATAAATATATATATTTAAAAAATAATATTAAAATATAATAAAATATTGTATATTATTATATTAGGTGGTTGAGACTGGTAGTGATGATAGTTTCTCAGATTCAGAAGAATCTCCAGAACAAAGAGGAGGTATCCTTACCAGACGACCATCATATAAAAAAATTCTTAATGACTTAGGTGGTGGTGAAATTACTGGTATGTAAAATTTTTTTTATAACATATTATATATTAATATATTGATAAAATATTAATTAATTTTTTTAGAATTAAAAACAAAATTTTTTATTTGTTAAATATAATATAAATTGCAAATATTTATTATTTTTTAATTAAACTTATTATAAATTCAGTTATACAGAATGTTAATATATTTATTATTTTTGAAGAATCAATTCTAGAAGTCAAAACAAATACAAAAATTGATAAAAAAATATTAGATGAGATTTATTTATTAAATTATAAGCAATTTAAGTTCATGTTAAATGAAATGGAAATAGTTTATGATAGTGATGTTATACAAAAGATCTCATTCTATTTCCATTTGTTTAATGTAAACTTTAATTGTTTTTAATAATTTTTAATTTAATTTTTTAACTTAATTTTCTCATTTGACATTTTTGTATACTTTTATTTCAGTCTCTAGAATCAATTTCTCAAAAATGTACTCTTTTAGTGTGTATATATATTGTATACAGGATGGATAATATAATATGACTCTTAATTTATTTCTTATTTAAAAAAATATAAAAACTTCATATAAAAACTATGTAAACAAAACATAATTTCATGTTATTATTTTTTTTCAGAATATATAGAGATTAAAATCAATTTCATATTTTTAAATAATATTACATTTTAATACAGATGGTTATAAAAATACTAAGTCATTTATGAAAAATAAATTACTAATTTAATAAATATTCTAAATTGAATTTTATAAAATTTATTATATAAAAAACAATATCAAATATATTTTTTTGTTGACAAAGCATATTTTTTTATTTCGCTTTTTTTGACTTTCAATTATAAGTTTTCTACATTGATAATTTGTTATTATAAATAGTTCAATTTTTTTTATAAGGAATGCTTTGACGATATATTGAAAAATATATGATTCTAAAAACAAAATTGAACTTAATATATTTTCTATATATTTATCTATAAAAAAAAGTTATATTTTATATTCTATACCATGCAACTTTGGTATGAAAAATTTTTAGTGCAGCAAATTATTTAACAAATTATTTAAAATAGTCATGCTTCACAATTCATTCTGTATATAATTCTCTATTTAATTTTTAAAAATTAAAAATATAAATGTAATATTATGCACAGAAATAATAAAGTGCATGTCAGTTCATACAATTACTTTATCTATTTTTTTACATATTTCATAGATAATTATAATTATATCAATTATATCATTAATTTAATTTAAATCTTACTAAATAAATGTAAAATCGATTTGTTTTATAAGTTACTTATTAAATGAATATTTAAGTGCATTAATTTCATTAAATAGTTTAATAAGAAATCTGTGAATGTGATATTTTATGCTTTTTAATATTTTATTTTATATAAAAAAAATATGCCATACCAAGCTTAAAATTTAAGATAAATTATAATAAAATTTAAGATATTTTATCTTTTATTAATCCTAAGAAAAACACAACAAATTCTCCTCTAACCATTATATATATATGTAATATGAAAAAAAACATTTTTTTTTTATTGTAATAAATGAAATCCCACTATGCTTATTTGACATTAATAAATTTAAAATTATTTTTTTTAATAATTTAGTTATATTTATTAATTTTAATAAAGTTTCACTTTTTTTATATTTAATAAAATTTTCATAATTAAAAAAAAAATAATAATAATTAAAATTCGTTATTATTATTATAATATTTATACTTCTTAAAATAGTATTTTATTATTAGTTTTGATTTTTATTTTGATCTATTTCCTTTTTGTATGAGCTGACTGCACAGTATTATAGTAAATATATAAAAAACAGCAGCCAGAAAGGAAATAGCATATAAGAATATTTTACTTTCATTATATTTTTTTAGTAATGCAAATATCTATCTTTCTGCATACAAATTTTTTTAAATATACATTATATTTTTTTAAATATACATTATATAATTATACATTTTTATACAATCAGAAAAGTTACTCAGAAGAAATATTAAATATTATTATTTTAATAATATTATTTCTAGAAATGAATATTATTATATTATAAAAAATACATTTACTATTTTTTAATAAAAAAGTTTTTTTTATATTGTGGGAATTTTTCAAGTTCATTTAGATTAAATAAATTAACACCGATAACAACTCTATTATAATAAGGGGTTGTACTAATTCGGTGTTACAGACGGTCGATTGCCCCCTCTAGAATCATCTTCTGAGTGTGATTCTAACGTGGACAGTGAAGTGTCTTCCCATTCGCTTCATTATCAGACAGGTTGGTTATTTTTTCTCCTATATATCTTTCCTGGCTGTCCTTTATTTAATTCTGCACAATTATAATCTTTGTTTTTTTAATTTAAAATAATGTTAGAGGAGTAAATTAGAACTGGAGTAAATTATTAAATTAAAACATTTAAGTAAAATTTAATTCCTTTTATCTTTCATATTGCCTAATGTGATATTTTGTATGTTTGCTTGGTGTGGCATCTTTGCTTATGGGGTTTTTAATCGTTTATGAATAGGTGCATAAATAATGTATATAATCATAATAATTGTTAAAAAACTATTCAAACTTATTTTCATTTTTTTTTTTTTATGTACTATACTTAAGTACTATATTTAAAATAAATGAATTCTAATAACTTTTTTTGATGAAAAATTATATTACATGAAATAAGCTTAATAATGAATACATATATTTATCAATATAATATATATACATACAACATATATATACAGGTATATATTTAATATTGATATAATATATCAGTAATCATAATTAATACAGATCGCAATTAATATAATTTACAGTAATTCCTGCTGGTACCATTCAAATTGCAACCCAAGGCGAAGGTGTTCCTGGACTTCATACACTAACTATGAGTAATGCAGCAACAGCAGGTGGAGCTATAGTACAGTATGCACAAGGGCAAGATACACAATTTTTTGTTCCAGGTGCGCGTTTTTTCATAATTTTTCTTCATAATTGAATTTTATTATTTTATTATTTTTTTTTCTAAATGATTTTTAAATATTTAAAAAATTTTTTTTAAATTAAATAATTTATAAATATAAAAAATATAAAAATTAAAAAAAATAATAATAATATGAATTAAATATTTAATATTTTAATTTGCACTAAATAATTATGAGCAAAAAAATTAAAAATTTGGGGAATACAGTCTCTGACAATGTTTCAGCTTACACAGGACATGGTGTCGTAGTAGAAGATGCAGCTAGAAAAAGAGAATTGAGGTTGCTCAAAAATAGGTAAGATTTAATGAAAATAAAAATATATTCAATGAGATATTGTATTTCTATTTTTATTTTTAAATATAATAAATAAATTTAAAAATATAAAAATATTTCTTATTTTTACAGACAAGCAGCCCGCGAGTGTAGAAGAAAAAAGAAAGAGTATATAAAGTGTTTAGAAAACCGTGTTGCAATACTGGAAAATAGAAATCAGACGTTAATAGAAGAACTCAAATCATTAAAACAACTATGCGAACCGAAAACTGACTGAGGTTGGTGTTTAATGTTGAAACATTGTATGAAAACTATTAACTTGCTAAAAAAAATTGTACATGTCTTCTTTGTGTACATTATCTTAAAAGTTGTTAAGTAAGCAATGGTGATGTACATGCATTCTTATAAATAAGTGTTTCTGTAACATACTGTATTTAAAATGCGAATATAAAGGCTTGTGAAACTTGCTATTACTAAAGCGAGAAGCCAAAGGTATATGAAATGCAGAGATAGCAAACTTATAGGCAATATTCTGGAAGTCAATCTATATTTTGGATAATCATATGAATTTAGGTTATTAATGATTACATATTCAAAATATGTTAATAAGAAGATAATGACATTAGTGTTTGGAGCATATTCATTTATATTACAGTAACTATGTGATGTCAAATGATATATTTAAAACTTTCAATTATACATAAATATTATATTCTTATGTTTGATTCTATTTGAAAAATTTTACATTAGTAAAAAATGAAGAGCATTATAAAAAAAATAAGGAGAGTGTATTTATTTTAGTAATCAATTTAATATAAATAATTGATCACTAAAAATACACATATTTGAAAGAAACGCCTTATACACAATATTTGCTAGTATAATTAGGAATTAGAGACAGTTATAAATTAAGATCACATAGTTTCTGCATTAAAAAAAGCATAGTTATTAGATAACAGTGTCTATATAATTTTTTTTCAATTTCTTTATTCTTTTATACTTGAAAAAAGTAGATCCATTAAAAAAATGAATCTATTAGAAGTATTTGAGGCATAATTAAAGAGATTAGAGATAATTGTAAAAAGATAAATAGATCGAAATTCTACTACTTTGATCATTGCTGCTGCGACATATATATGTATAAAATGTTATCTCAATATAATTTTTTACTTTAAATACGAACTTCAGAAACATATTATGAAAAAAATGTAACTTATATAATGTAGAAAAGCACTAGTTAAAATATTTTCATTTGATTTTATTTTTTATTTTAAGACGCCTTAAGTGCGAAAAACTGAAAAACAGAATTTGTAAAATATGAATGTAATATATATAGATATATATATATTTATATATATATATATATATCTGGAGTGCCTTGAAGATTTCTGTATACATATGGTATACAAATAAACATGCGCAAGTGCGCTCATACATATGCATACCTAAGTATGTGTCAAATTACATATTTTAAGTAAATATGGGTACATGCAATATTTTTAAATTACATATTATGTTATAGTTTTATGTTCTACGTAAAAATCGTACAGTTATGTTAAAATTAAAATTTCTATTCCAATATATCTCCATATCTTTTGGAATTAAATAAAATTTTTAAATTACTAGTATAAATTATATAATATATTCTAAATTGCATATAGATATAATTGAATCTAAATCATGTTACAGTAGAAAACAGAATGTATTACAATCAAATAATTTATATATTATGATTTTTAATATCAAGAACAAGAAATTATTTTTTAATATCTGACACATATTTAAAAAGAATTATTTGTCTAATGCATTTTTTCTTCATAAAATCAATGTTATATAACATAAGTATAAAACTATTTGATGTATAATTTTGATTGTTATATATTTATAAAAAAAAAAGATTTGAATATCCAGTTTGATCATTCAATAATTTAAAATAATTATTTAATAAGTTTGTGCATAATTTGCTGATTATTTGAAAAAATGATATAATTTTTTTTTATAAAATGTTAAAATATATTATTATTGTAAAATTATTTATATAAAAAGTATAATAATAGTAATAGCTATATAGTAATAACTATTTGTACATATTATTTTTTTATATCAATAATATATATTTTTTTAACAAAATTATAATAAATTTTATGATTGATCAGACTGGAAAATTTTTTTGTATAGGCACAATGTATAAGTTTTCAAATTATTTGCTGTTGAACTTTTCACTTTGATAATAGAAAAAAATAATAGTTATACAATATTCTTATGTGCTTAATATGTAATTTGTAATTATACAATTTTATTGAATTGAAAAATAGATTATTTCCAAATTATTCCCTATAAAATGAGAGTACAATGTGCTTATAGTGATATATTACAAAATAAAAACTCACTATAAGTTTCTTTTCTCGACAGATTTGAATTTGACTTTAATTTAGACTGTACACATCATCTGTGTTTTAATGTTAATTATATGTATGATATATGTATATCTTGATTATTGCACCGATAATATGAAATATTGTATATAGATAATACATGTATTTTTACATATCATTTGTCTTTAAAAAATATAATTCATAAACCTCCTAAGAACTCATTATTATTATAGAAAATATAATATTAAAATTAAAATATTAAAAAAAAAGACTGAAATAACAAATTTAAATGCTTAAATATATTTATTAATAGGATATTAAATATATAGAAGTATATATTTTAAAAACTTTATTATATGTATACAATTATTTTTTTGTTAAAAAAAATCATGTTATCATGGATTTTATTCTTTTCACCTGAAACATAAAGAAATATTAAAAATTATATGTTCTATAAATATTATTAATTTTTAATTTAAATTTTAAAATTCAGTTGGTAGTGCATGTAAAGAATAATCATGAATTCATGAATAATAAAAATATCATCATAACAAATTTAAATATTAAATTTTATAAAAAAAATAATATTACTAACCATATTTCAATTTATCATATCCTTTCCAAAATATATTTTTTTATTCAGAAATCTGAAATCAATATAACTAAATTAAATTTTTATTAACAATAAAAATATTTAATTTTTTAAAATGAATAATTCAGTTGGTAGTGCATGTATTAAAAAATCATAAAATCATGTAAATGATAATTCATCATATAGATTTTTAAATTATACATTGTAAATAAATACAATTAAAAATATATATTAATCAATTACTTACTTAATTTTTTCTTGCTATTATTCAATTACTATTATAACTATTAAAATTTATATATTAAACTTAATTACATTAAGATCAAATAATAATTATATGAAATAATAATATAAATAATTTGATAAAATATTTATTTAAAATTCTCGTAAATATGAAAGATTGATAATTAAAACATTATTATGTAATAATGAAGATTAATTATTAAAGATGTTTTTAGATTATAAAATCTTGAATGTAATAAGTTTTTATGCTAAAATTAAAATATACACGTGTATTAATTTTTAGTTTCAAAAATTAAACAGAAAAAAAATTATATTATACGAGATTTATTCTTCAATATTTTTATTTTTAGTTTCTACTACTATTTTTTCAATCAATTTATATCACTATTATATCACTATTTTATTTTTAATAATATACAATTTATGTAATTTTTAAATCTCGCTTCAAATACTTCCATCATTCACCAACAAAATATTCTAAAAGAACGAATAACGAATATTAAGTTTTCACTTTCTTTCTGATTTTGGGTAAATTTTTATGTATGCGATGATTTTAGTTAATACTTCCTAAAAAATATTTTTTATAAATATGAAATAAATATTACGAAATTTATGGTATAAATAAGTATATAAAATACAATTTTATATTTAAATTTATATTTTAGTTTTTTTAATTTCATTTAATTGTATCCAATTAAAAATGATTACATTTCGTATTTATGATAGATATATTTATATATAAATACCTATCTAGTTTTTACCAATTTAATCTCAGTAGTTGCAAATGTCAGTCTTGCAAGTAGTTACTAGTGAGAATTGTATGTTGTTCGGAAAAAATATGGAGGTAATTAAAAAATGTTCCAATATGATTTTAACAGAATTTTAGCATTTTTTTAATTATCAATTAATATAATAACAATCGTTAGAAAAAATGCAAAATTTAAGTTTAAAAAACTAAATACATGACAACAACATTAAGTAATGTTATTGATATTTTACACTATTATAATTGTCGATCGTAAATCGCTTAATATTCCAATTTACGTAAGTTTATCTTAAATTTCATAAAAATTAATTGATTAACATATTAAACATATTCATTCAATGCATAATTTTTAAAAATAATCGAATCATTTTTAAAAAATTACTGTAATAATCATCAAAGTGTTAAACGATTTATCTTGGATACTGAAATTTCTCAATAAGATTCTGATTTATTAACAGGCGAGAGGAAAATAAAAATGACGGAAAGTTTAATAAATGAATGGTTAGTAGACTGTGCAGATGTCTCACCTTCAGAACTTCATACTTTTGCTACTACCTTATCACAAGATAACGAAATAGTCAGAGCTCTTTATGTACTTTTGGAAGAACGTAGTAAATATAGTCAGGTAATATATTTCTGAATAAAATTTAAGTAATCTCTTTAATATAATCTTATAATATTTTAAATTTATTAATTAATAAATATAAAAAAAAATATATAATTAATAATATTATAAATTTTATTAATATATATCTTAATATTGAAATAAAACTTAAATGAAATATCTTTTTATTATAATTTAATATTTTATGCAAAAATATATTTAAATATACATTATTTTTTATTTATTAATGTATTAATAATGTTTTATTCATTATAGCTGGTGGATACAGTATGTGATCAGTTATATAATTTTTATCGATCTCGAGAAACAGAATTACAAAGATTTACCTTACAATTTTTACCAACATTAGTATACATTTATTTAAATTCTGCAGCTCATGGTGATATTAAGGTAAGACTATATAATTAATAAGACATTTAAGTATAAATTTTATTGGTATTTCACATTTTATGTCAAGTTATGATATATAATTTATTTGAATGTTATGTAAGAAAACAATTATAATTTAAATTAAAGATAAAATTATAAGATAGATCCTTTATCTAATTATAAATTAATTGTATTATATAAAATGAAATATTTAATAAAGTATTTTCCAATTAATCACAATATTTTATATTACAAGATATTTTTAAGTTTTTTTTTAATTATAATTTTTAATTTTAATTTTATTTATTAATAATTAAAAATTTTTTAAGAATTTTATTAAAATTTTATTAAACATAAAAATATTCAGTATTTATTTATATTATTTTTATTTATATTATTTATAAATATTGAAAAATGCAATTCATAAATAAATTAATCCAAAAATAAAAAATCATTATTATATTTGAAATATATGTATAAGTATATTAATATTATAGATATTTTTATATTTAATAATATTTTTTAAACATTTTTTTTTTTAAATAAAAATATGTTATTTTAAGTATAATTATAATATATTCTGGAAACTTAGATAATTTTTAATATAATTTTTAAATTGATTTGAATTTAATTAAAATTTTCTAATTTAAAAATTAGAAAACATTGATCTAATCTATAAATTATATTCAAAAAAATATTATTATTATAGTTACTTAAAAATTTATAAAAAAATTTTTAATTTAATTATCTATTATATTATATAAATAATATATTTGATTTATAATAGAATTATTTGATTCAATTAATTGATTATTTTTAGCTAATATTCATTAATATTTTTGTACTTTAAACATTTTATTAACATAATTTTAAAAAATATGAAAAAAATTATTGTTTCTGTACATAAGAAATACATTATATACATTTATATATATATATACATTTATATTTATATTATATATATATATATATATATATAAATGTATATATTATATATATACATTTTTTCAAATCTTTAATTTGATCTTTGAATTTTATTTTCTATTTCACAGAATTGTCGGTCTGTAGAAACATTATTAATTGGTCTGTACAATTTGGAAATAGTAGACAAATCTGGTCAGCAGAAAACAATTTCTTTCAGATTACCTTCACTTGCCATGATATCCATATTTCATGAGGTATTTTAATGAAAAAATAAATAATTGAATCTTATAGATACACAATATTATTATAATTATATAATTATTTTTTTAAATATAGCCTGTAAGTTTGGCACCTGCTTCTTTAACTGAAAGTGCAGTACGCAGATTTGAAGAATGTAATACAAAACTTGTTAATTGGGGTCCATTGCAACAAGTTGAAACACTAAATGCTCAAAATAGATTAAAAGTAATGACTGCTCTTCTTTTTATTTACAATCAACAACTTGGTTACATAAGTAAATTTGCATTGGAGCAATTATGCAAAGTTGCTACTAAGTAAGATAAAATTGTTTTTTATATATTTATTAAATAATATAATAATTATTTAAATAATTGTTGATAATTGTAAATAATAATTTTTTAAATAATTTATTATAGACTTGTCACTCAAGGATTTATGAAACCAGGACACCATCAACGATCTTCGTATGGAAGCGAGTCTAGTTTTGTTCCAAGGCTTTTACCGCGCATACCTGTCTCCAGTCAATTTCTTCTTGAATTTTTACATGCTGTATACTTTGCTATGTGAGTAATTTAATTATATAATATATAAAATTATATATAATATAATTTATATAATCCATATAATTTTT